CTGATGAGGATCAAGACTTGCAGCCTTCAATATGAATTACAATTTAATGTAGAGAAAACAAAGCCCTTACAGCTGGACCAGTGGTGACATCATGATCGATGGAGAAAAGATGGAAGCTGTCAAGGTTTCCTCTTACTTGGATCCACAATCAATGCCCATGGAAGCAGCAGCCAAGAGATCAAAGAGTGCATTGCACTGGGTAACTCTGCGGCACAAGACGGCTCTAACCTGATGGAAAGTTAGGGTGTTGCTTTCCAGATTAAGGTGCCCCTGACCTAGCTCATGGTAACTGCAATAACCTCATATGCATATGAAAGTTGGACATTGAATACGAAGACTGAAGAAAAGTCGATGCATATGACTTATGGTGCTGGAGAAGAATACTGAAAGGACCGTGGATGGCCAAAAGAGCAAACAGTCCGTCTTAGAAGTCCAGCCAGCACACTCCTTGGAAGCGAGGACGGGGAGGCATCATCTCACACACTCTGGACATGTTCTCAGAAGAGAGCAGTCCCTGGAGAGGGACATCATACTTGGTAAAAGGAGCAAGACCCCCAACACACAGGGAACATACCGGGAAAAAGAGCAAGATCCCCACCTAGATGCACTGACACAGTGGCTGCAATGATGGGCTCAGTGGTGAGGGTGACGTAGGACCAGGCAGTGTTTCCCTCTGTGGTCCCGAGGGAGGATCGCTCTGAGTTGAACCTCACTCCCAGGCACTCACTAACCACAGCAGCGACCATGTAGTGCAGGAAAAGGGTCTTGGTGACCATGATGGACTACTAACCCAAAGGTTGGTGGTTCAAAGCCACCAGCCTCTCCTAGGGAGAAAGAGGGGGCAGTTCATTCTGCCAAGGTTCACAGCCTCCGAAACCTACGGGGCAGTTCTTCTCTGTGCTACAGGGTCATTATGAGTCAGCATCAACTCAACAGCAGTGGGGTTAGTGTTTGGAAAGACTCAAAGCGTTCCCATGGTTTAAAAGTTGCGTAAGCAGCCGGTGAAGCTGGTGTGATGAAGAATGTGTGTGCGTAGGGGCTGGTGCAAAGTGAGGGCCACATTTACGGAGCGTTGAAGGGCAAGCAGGATTACTCTGTCGGCATTGGTGACCAGGCGACTGCCTGGTCGTGCCATGTTCTGGGCCAGGGTCAACCAGGGTGCTGGCTTTAGCAGCAGCTGTCGGCCTCAGGGATACTGAGAAGCGTGACACCGGAGGAACCGGAGGAGTTAAAATTCAAAGGAGCGTTGCTGCCTCCTCCGGTCTGTGAGTCCTTCCCTGTGAAAAGCCAAGCCACCGTTGTCCCCGGACCTGCTTTCAATCTGCCAGTGCACTCTTGAGTGGCATAATTCAAATTCCTTAGATTAGGCGGCCGGAGGAGAATTGCATAAGACTAATTGTTCCTGGCACAGGGATGCTGCTAAGCCGCTCTCCCCTGCAGCTGGTCCTGCCTCCTCCTGTGTGCAGGAAGGGCTGTCCTGGGTAGCCCCCCGGGAGCAGGCATCCAAAAGCAAGGGCAAGGGACACTTCTTTCAGGACATGTTCTCATGCCAGCGTCTCTGATGACGACTCCGCTGAGAATGCCTGGCCGCCCTCAGGTCCCCAAGAGCCGTCCACGAGTGCGAGAGTCAGTCTTCCCGGCATGCACGTGGGCTGACGTTGGCAAACCAACAAAACCAGGCAAAGCAACCAACCACGAGCCTGTTTCCCCCCAATGTCTCCAAAATCGCTACCATTTCAAGCGGAGGTTTATTTTGCTCTTTCTTCCCTAGAATGTAGTATTCGCCCCACATGCGAGGTGGGGTTCTCCTGGCCATGCTGGGAGTCCCTTGGGTCTGAAGTGGACGGGCGGGACAGCACACTGCGTGGACACTCATTTTAATGCCTGTTCAGTGTTCCCTTTGTGGGGCCTCGCCCAGGTGGCTGTGCGCTCTGGGGGCTTTCCCTGAACCATGGCTGCCCAGCCTTCCACGGGGGGCAGGGGGTGGTGGTGACGGCGGAAGCAGAACTGGTTGTGGGCCCCAGCTGAGTCTCAGGAACCTCGCTGTCCATTCCACTGAGCCCTTTTTTCTCTGAGTGTAGTTCCCAGAGCAGGATGGTTTTGCTGTGCTTTATTTCCGTCTGAATGCCCTCGCGATGGCTGTCAAGCCAATGGCAAGATGTCCATGTTGACTCAGAGGGACTCTATAGAACAGACCAGATGGCTCCATAGGCTCTCCTGGGTTGCAATATTTTTTTAAATTAATAAATCACTTTATTGGGGGCTCTTACAGCTCTTATAACAATCCATACAGCTGTTGTATCAAACGCACTTGTACATATGCTGCCATCATCATTTTCAAAACATTTTCTTTCTGCTTGAGCCCTTGGCATCGGCTCCTCTTTTTTCCTGAGCTGTAATCTTAATGGGAACAGATCGTCTGGTCTTTTCTCCCACGGAGCAGTTGGTACTTTGAACTGCCAACAGCCGAGCACCTGTCCTAACCTAACCCCTGGGCCACCCAGGCGCCTCAACTTTATGGAAGAAGGCAATCGAGTTAGACCCAGTTAGGAAAGACTGACCCCAAACCACTGACTGCAGAGTCACCCTGCAGACATTGAGCTAAACCCACTTCCTGCCCCCAAAGAGCTTCTGCCTTGGAAAGTTTGAGACCATATTCCACACCTAGCTCTACCTATGCTTTAGAGCAAGGGGCCCTTGTGGTGTAGTGGTTACGACTTGAGCAGTGAGCCCAAGTTCAGCCGTTTGAAACCACCAGCTGCTCCGTAGGAGAAAGATGGGGCTTTCTACTCCCATAAAGAGTTAGTCTTGGAAACTCACAAGGGCAGTTCTGCCCTGCCCCATAGGGTCACAATGAGTAGGCATTGACTCGATAGCAGTGAACTTGGCTTTGGTTTATGCTTTATAATAGCATTGTTATTTTATCTAATTTTCTTTTAAGATAGTAATTCAAAGTAATTCTTTTAGGATCGTAATTAAGGAGTAATTCTACTCCTCCATCATCATCCTCCACTCAAACTTAATGCCCATGGAAAGAAATCTAAGGCTGCAGTCGACAACCTTGCCTTCTCTGTAGGGGACGACACTGCGCTGCCCATGGCTGTGTGGTTTGTGGTGTCTCCTGGTAGGACGAGCAGGCCTGACCACGTGACTTGCTTGGGCCAGTATGGCGCAAAAACCTTAAGAGATGCCTTAAGGCTCCCAGATGTGGCTGCCTGTGACAACAATGTTTTGCTTTTCTCTCTGCGACGGCCCAAGTAGAGACACGACTTCAGCACGTGTCCTAGACTCAGAAGACATCGTGAAGAGCTGTAGTCCTCCCGCAGCCAGGGGAATGTAAAGTGGTTGAGGAATCAGGTAGCTTGGTGTAAGCCACGGCGACTTTTAGGGTCAAAGGGGAGACAGGATAAACACCACCATCAATGTCCAGTCCCCTTTATTTATACAAAAGAATAAATAAACTATATCAGTATATACAAACAGAATAATATTACCACTATAAATAGAAAATCCCCCAATATGAGATCTTTTTAAAATCATACAATCTATATACACTGTTGACCATAGAAGTTTTAAGTACCTTAAATCACAAACTCCATGTGTTTGTTTACATAGTAGTCTTATAAAAATAGAGTTTGCTGTCAAGTGTTCAATCAACAGCTTTTAAGTCAGTTAAAGTGCTGAGCTGTAGCGCATACCAGGGGTACCCCAAATAAAGTCTTCGGCATTTCATACATTCATATAAAAGTTTGTCAGTTGCTTCGAGGCTTACAAAGTACTCCTGAAGGTCTGGTAGGGCATGATCAAGGGTAATGTAACCAAGAGGAATTACTGAAACCCAAATGAAGACTGACCATGATAGTGGGACAAGAGGAAAGTCAAAGGAAATAGAGGAAAGAGCTAGGAGGCAAAGGGCATTCACAGAGGTCTAAATAAAGGCA